TTGTGTGTTTGTGGTTGTGTGCTTGTGGTTGTGTGTTTGTGGTTGTGTGTTTGTGGATGTGTTTGTGTGTTCGTGGTTGGAGGAGGAGATGGGGCTGACATAAAATCTAACAACCCTCACCTGACAGGTGGGGAACAACACCTCAAACGATGCAACAATGAATTGTTGATCAGCCACCCGCATGACGCGTGAGATTCGGGACATGTCGAAGAGCTGCAGGCTGGTGCGAGGCGTTGCGAGGCTGTTTGGAGCCGGAACTGTTGTCAACACTCGTCAGCCGTCAGCATCTGAAATCTTGTTTTAATGGCTGAACCCTTTAATTAGCTTCCACCCGAAACCCACACTTTGCATAGATGTAAGAACAACACAAAACTCCACACATCTCGGCATACATCTCTCAAACACCTTTGTCACCCCTTTCGCACCTTCATGAGGTCGCGGTAGACCTCATTCACTGCCTGGCATCCCGTCGCAATCGTCCAATCCATCCGTCCGGTCCGTCAGTCGTCCAATCCGTCCTGCTTGAGGTTGGAGGCTTTGCCGGGGATCTCTGGATCCCACGAACCTCGAGGCCGCCGGGAAAAGGAAAAGACACACCCCGCTGGCCAAGCAAAACCACAAACATGCAGGCCCTACGGTGGAGGGATGGCTTACTGGGAGGGGAAGAACTGTTGGAAGTCACGCACTGGCTCCACTCAGCTCCAGCCTATCTCTGAGAATGGTGTGAAGATAATTGTGATGCCTCCCTCCCGTTCATTCATGAAACCAAAAATAAAATCAGCAGCACTGCGCACCCGTCATTCTTCTTAAACAAAGGACCGATGTATATGAGAAGCGGAGCAAGGGTTCACCATCGTGGTTAATGATGGTCATATCGACGTGTATTCGGTGTATGCTCCACTTTTCAAGGTCTAACTGAGAGACCGGGCCATCCATGTGCACTTGCCGCAAGTTCTCCGGATGAGAAGTTCTCCGCAACCTCGGCAGGTTCAGGTTGCGAAAAGACTTCAAAGACCCGTAAAAACCTCCGGATTCTTAGATTGAACAGAACAAAGGAAGTGGGGAAGTATAGAGATCAACTACGTTCAACTACCAGATCAAATGATCAAATTTTATCATAAACATATCTTATTGGGTTGATACCCAACAACGTGCGCAAGGACCGAGAATCGCTGTGGGATCTGTGCATAAGTTGGCTTCGGTGGTTTCAACCTTTGAGTATCCTGACCACTCTGGCTTCCGTTCAATAAAATCGAACACTTATTATACACTGATATACACTGTATTCCCTGTATTCTTGATGAACGGCCGTTTCTAGGGTAATCATTCCCAAGAGGTGTTCATGTCCAGTTCCAGCAGTTCACTTCTTAACATTGGATCCGTAGCACGCCAGGTGCCGAACATCTCTCATCAGCACAAGAGCAGCCACCGCCCTAAACCATCTTAAACTCGCTTTCTCTTCCACCCCAACAGAAACCCAAAAACACCTTGGTTCCCCAAGGAGTCTCCCCGTATCCTTGAACTTGGAGCTGAGCCCGGTCGTTGGGTCTTTCGAGCAATGGAAACGACGCCCGCCTGCCGTGCCCATGCCGTTCATCGACTTCGCGGTGGTTTCTGGGGCCTGGCGTGGCGAAATGCTTGCCAAACTCCTCCGAGAGCTGGTTCGCCTGAAGGCAACGGGTCGTCCAGGTCAGGCCATGAAGGCTTGCCGCTTGGCCCAGAAGCAGTTGCCGTGGCTTGCCATGTATCCCCCCAAGGTGTCTAAGGAGCCACCCGATGCTGCACAATCGTAAAGTGTGACATGGGACACCGACTTGGAGGAACCCAACAAAACCACTTTGTGGGGCGATTTTGGTGTGCGAATCTTCCGATGTCCACCCTGCAACGTTACGTAATGAGCACCTTCTTCACCGCAGGATCTCCTTCACGCGCCTGGAGGCGGCAAGGCATCCAAGTGCTTGTGATGTCCGTTCCATCCAATTGAGGCAACCCAACACAGAGCGGTGCTCTTCCGTTTCACTACTAGAGTTGCTACTTTTGCAAATGAACAACCACATCGTTTCAACTAAATATACATATACTGTATATATATATATATGGGAGTTGATCTAAATTCCTTTATCCGGGATCCGTCATTTTCGCCAAAAAAAATTTACTTTCGCCAAACTTTCGCCTTCCTGCGTTTTATCTTTCGCCGAAGTACGTTGTATTTATGTGTGCCATGTATGTTGTGTTTTGTTCACGTCAATGGCTTCTTCTTTACTGGCAAACACAAAATAGAAATTTCACTGTTTGTCAGCATGTGTCTTCTACTTAACTGTTGACACCCTGTACGTCTCTTTTGTTTCTCCTGGGTGTCAGCAAGAGTCAAAAATGCAAGAATCACTGAAGTAGCCGGTCACCGAAACTTATTCATAATGGGCTGGGGGTCAGATGTGGCAGGGTGAACTTTCGCCAATCTTGAGCTGAACTTTCGCCAAACTTTCGCCTTTTGCGGGGTAGAGTTTTGTGGCAAAGCCACCCCCCAAAGCAGGAGCAGGAATAGTAGGAATAGTAGTAGGAATAGTAGTAGTAGTAGTAGTAGTAGTAGTAGTTAGTAGTTAGTAGTAGTTAGTAGTAGTTAGTAGTAGT